CTTCTGCAAACTGTCTTTGAATTAACTCATCTTGGATCAACGAAAAGGTCACACACATTGTTATTGACTTCGTGAGATTTTTTTCTTTGTCCTAAAATTTCTTCAGAATATTAAGTCTGTGTGGTGAAAATCAACTCACTATGGCTGGATAAGCCTGAGAGGTACCTAGATCTGTTGCCATAGTAACCGACCCTGGCACTGTCTTCTGGGACTCTGAGGGGAGGTCCAATGAGAGAGTCCTATTACCTGCTGCTGTTTTGACACATATTGATTTACTGCGAGTAACAAATAGCCAGAGTCAAATTGCAGACTTCTCCTGGTGATGAAAAATGGGCTGTTGTGCAAAAACGCAGAGTTGTGAATAAGTAGGGAGCCAGAGTAAAGCCTCCGCTTGTCTGTCTCAGGCACTGCAGGAGCAGCCATTACCCTGCACCTGGAAACCCGTGTTTGTACCCATCCATCCACCCTGGAAAGTCATGAGAGAGGCAATTTTATCTTCAAAACCAGATTAACGGGTTATGCTTGTTTTTGGGCCTTGTTTCCATCTATGTACATAAAATCCCAGAACATGGCTACTGTGCCCAGATCCATGGGAACGAAAAGGCACATTTTTGAACACCTCCCGTTCTGGTCCATTTGTCCCAGCACAGCATCAGTTTAGGCAAAGGAGCCCAAAACACTTAGCTGAATAAAGTAAATTCTGCATTACCTTCTTTTAGAGAATGTGTTTGCTCCTTTAAAGAACTTGAACTTGGTATTAACCCATGTTCATTGGTGCTAACAACAGGGCGTAGATGGCACTCTGGCAGGAATGGCTCTTTGGCACCTAACAAACGATAATAAACCCTGTTAGCCCTTTCTTCCTGAGGAAGTCATGTGTGGTAGAAAAATACAAAAATAATTATTTAAGGAGTTACCCCCAACTGAAAGAACTCAGATGGTGTTGGCTTTGTGGGTTGGTGTGAACTCATTGCTGAGCACAACTCGGCCTTCAGCACAACAGCTTATGCTTCCGAAGCACACAACTGAAAGGGGAACCAAGAAACTGTGACAAACCTCCCTGGAGTAGTCATAGCATCCTCCGCGGTGTGCCGACTCTCCAAGGTGTGGCATCCCTCTGCGGTGTGCCGTCCCTCCGCGGTGTGCCGTCCCTGCACAGTGGCAACGGTCTGCTCACTGTGATGGGACTTTCACATCTTCCTTCAGGAGTTCCAACATCCCTCCGCCAGTAGTTTCAGATAATTCTTATTTTGACAGGACTTATCAAAGACATTGGCTTATACACGATCTCATTTTAGTACTGTTGCTACTCTTCAAAAAAAGCCAATGTGATTTTTAATTTACGCATCCCACTGTTAGCTAGCAGAGGTTTAGTGACCTTGCAGAGGGCATCCAGACAGTAAGCAATAAACCCAGTTTAAATCGTATTACAAAATTATGGTATCTGAATTTCGTAAGTTTTAAATCTACATAATACATTTTCTCCTTTACATTTTCTTTAAGATGATAATACTTAGCTGTGTTTGGTGACACAAACCTTTAATCCCTGGAGGCAGGTGCAGGCAGAGCTCTGTTAGTTTGGGGCCCACCTGGTCTACAAAAGAGTTCCAGAACAGCCAGAGCTGTTACACAGAGAAACTCTGTCTCAAAAAAACAAAACATAACAAAACAATAAAACTAAAATTTGTCAGACATTTGCCTTAAAAAGAATAAAATGAACATTCCACAGTAATGTGAAATTGTAAGTTGATATTTTTTCTTCCTTTTGTAGTCTTCCCAACAAGAATAGTTTTGGTTTAAGTCATCTATGCTAGTCCAATGGGAGTTGTGTAGAGGGGAGAGGAATGAAGGGAATGGAGCAATTACACACAACATTCTGTGCTCTTGAATTATTGATGAGACTTGCTTAGCCTGAGGTGGAGAAACTGAATTATTTGTCTTTATAAGTCCGGCATAGTCCTCTCGTGGGCTCAGGCTGCATAAAGAGAACACAGCAGACCATGAGGAAATACATCCACGCTGGGCCATCGTGGAGCTTGTAGTGAGTGTGCACGGACAGGCGAGGCAGTACAATATCTCCAGTAAGAAGGGACAGTATGCTCATTTAATACTGTCTCCTATGCAGATAGAAAAGTCAGATTTCTGTATGGCCTGGTCACTTCTGTCCTTGCCTGACATTTCCCTCTAATTCTTGAGAGATTTTATTCATTTCCACTTCTTGGTAAGACTGTATTATCTGTGCTAAAGGCAGTTGGTGCCGTCCCCTTAATCACAACGCCTTGCAGCCCAGCTCACTGGAGGGGCACGTTCCAACATCCATAGCATTAATCATACTAATTGATATTTTTGACTTCGCCAGTAACTAATACATGGGAGTAATCATTTAAAATTTGGTAGCACATCGTTTTGTGTAAAATAGTCTCCTACCGCAGTGTCAGAAGCAAGAATATGAGGAACTCCTCAGTGGTTCTTAACCTCCCTAAAGCTGCGAGCTGTGACCTTTAATGCAGTTTCTCGTGCTGTAGTGACCCACAACCATAAAGTTATTTTTTGTTGCTACTTCATAACTGTAAGTTTGCTACTGTTATGAATCATAATGTAAATATCTGATACGGAGGCTGTCTGGTATCCAATCCTTTTGAAAGGGTCGTTTAACCCCCAAAGGGATCAGCACCCACAGGTTGAAAACCCCTGCTCTAGACTGTGGGAAGAACAAGGTATAGAACTTCTGAACTGGTTATCAGTGTGTTCCTTTCCTTGTGATAAAATGGCGAACAAAGCAACCTAAGGAAGGAAGCATGTCTTCTGCTGCAGTGTAAGAGTGCAGTCCACCCTGGGGAGAAGGCAGGGTGGCGACTGCAGGAGCAGGGTGCACAAAGACTCGACGCTGGAGGCCGGCTCTGCGTCACCTGTCTCCGCTGAATTCAGTCCTGCAGTCTGCTTTCCCAGGCAGTGGGACAGGTGTGCCTAGAGGTGTGTCTCCTGCCAGTCACGTTGACAGTTGCCGTTCACTGTCAGGTGTCCTTATGATAAATTGAGCTTCTTAAAATTGCTGAAATTACAAAATTAAAAAAATTACAAGTAAGATGTGCCGGTTTCCCCTCAGAAAGCATTAAAAGGTGAGCACTGCATGAAAGAACCCTCTCCTGAACGCAGCCCTCTTGGTGGCGCCAGCTGCTGTCAGTTAGCGTCTCCCAGAGGCTTGTGGTCCAACAGCTGCACACCGGCTCAGCCCTTGTCAACACCACTGAAATGCCTTATTCTAGCCCAGAGTTCCTTTATGATAGTTTGTGATGTAAACAACAGTTAGTGAGCCACGAATCCAGTGTATAATTGTATTTGAGATGCAGCCAGGTAAAGGGTTCTTTAGATTATTTTTGAAGACAACCTATCTGATGTTTCTGTCTCTTTCCCGGCAGTCCTCTTGGGTAGCCTTTTCCCTGCAATCCAGCCTCACAGACCATGGAGAGCAGAGACAATGGAGTCTTTCTCGGGCTTCACTGAAAAGCACATGAAGTGCAGATTAGGTTTCATGTTTGTCTTTAAACCTTTGCGGAGGGCAGAAAGTCTCCAGAGTTCCAGAGCACAGCAGTAACACCGTACACAGCACTATGCTAACTTGTCTCCATTTACACATGGGCCCGTCGTGGCTGTTGCCCAGCCTGGGGGTTGTTTTTGCTACTTACTGAGGGTGCTTTGAAATTCTGGATTATTGTGGGAAATGTAGACTCTCTTTGGGCATATGACTTTGTTGGCGACACATTGCCTCACTGCCCGAGAGGACTAAGGATAAGCAAGCAGCACTGCCTGTGTTCCTAGGGGACTCAGTGTAAGCCAGACTGTAGCTTACAGAAGGAAGTCCTGCAGACAGCCGTGCACACATGCTATAAAGCTCCACTCACAGATGTTAGGGAACGTCTGCTCAAGCTCACAGCCAGCATGAGAAGTGACGCGGGGTCTTAAGCAAGGAGGATCTCCTTTCACACGCAGGGATCACATTCGTCACATATGTATTTCCTCAACATCTTGTAACAACAACAGAATTAGCATTCCAGAGGAACTGGAATTTCAAGGTTATCTTAGCACCAAAGCTAGGAATAGGCTCTTTAGAGCCTGGTGCCCAACTCTAGTGGATCTGCTGAGTAATATAGATGCCTGTTTCCAGTGAAGGAAGACTAGAGATGAAATACTCTAAGAACAAAATGGAAGATGACCTGGGCAGATAGCCAACCAGAGAACTGCAGCCACGTTGATATCCAGTCATAGTAAAGGAAATTCTTACTTCCCAGACATGACTCAGCTTGCCTCCTACACTGCGTCTGTGCAGAAAGCCTGGGCTGCAAACTGCAACTCCCACTCCCTCTGAACTCTTTACTGAATTGTCCCTCAGATAGAACAGATGACTCCTTGTAGCCCCATGACCTTGGACTGTCCCAAAGTACATATTTGGTTACAACGGAAGGACATGAAAGCGAGATCACACTGCATGGCACACAGCTTTGTGGTGTGGGGTCTTGTCAGCGAGCAAGAGCCCGCCATGGTGGGACAGGATAGCAGGATCCTTTGCTTAACATCTTTCTTAGACTTTCTTAGGCATCCTCTGGGCTGTGGCATTCTGTGCGAACTGAGAGCTGCACCTGGTGTCTATCCCCCGGGAAAATTCTTCCCTCACTTGCTTCCTTTGTTTTGGAACAGGAGACCTCAGGACTCTAAAATAAGGGACCATCCTGACATTTGCATTTTGAAACACCAAGACCCGATATAGTGTGTAATTCCCAGAGGATGTGTGCCTCTCTCGTCTCAAACACTGTGCACCCCAGTGTTAGAAAACCATCCCCCACTTCAGGATTTAAAGAGATAGTCATTCTTATCGTAACTAACAAAAAGCTTCCTTTAATCTTGTCACAGAGGATCAGTTTGCATTTTTAGGTGCTGCCGGTTCACCATCTGCAGTGGAGATGGAGAGAGCTTTATGAACCTGTATCTTCTTGTTTCAGTAGGGTCTTCATGGTTGTGCCTATGTCTCCACAGCCAAAGCAAAGCAGACACTGAAGGTAATTTCCTAGATGCTTAGACCTCTCCCCTTCGCCTCCACTATAGAGCCTTGACTTCCAGTCAAACAAGGGCAGTTGGGCATCAGGGTTGATGGTCACATAGTTTTTTAGTAAAATATAAAACATTATTTCTCCCTGATTTTCTGCCTTCTACCTACCTACAGTAAATTTTTGAAATTTCTACAAATACAGTTTTTGCTTACATTTAAGTAAGAGACTCTTGTGATAGGAATTACACGCCTTTCAATTTTGGAATGTTTCTGCTCTACTCTTGTGCACAAATTGGCTTCTGCAGTTCAGCACACATGTGGCTTGGCCTCGTTTCTGTGCAGCACCCGTCCTCGTTCTGTTGCAGCTCTCATGCTCCCCATCATGCTTTCCCAGTTAGCACACACCCTGGTCTGTCTGTAGTGTCGCTTACACGGGAGAGGCAGCTTCTAGTTTAAGGTCCTGAGTTTGCCAGCACACATAGAAGGAAGGCCTGACTCATTTTCTGTATTATTCTTCTAGACGAGAATATGATCTAAAAAAAAAAAAAAAAAAACCAGTAAACTTCAAAGAGCTTTGTCTCATTCACAGAAATACATAATACATTTAAAAGAAACTCTTTTGTAATTTCTCTTTTCATGAGATGGTTGGTGTGTCTCAGAACTAATTTGTGAGAAAACTAATTCTAGAGAGAACAGTTAAATGCATCTCTCATATATCATATATTCTTGTTTGCTTACCATATGTGTGTTTCTACGTGCACATGCCTATGTACATATATATGTGTGTGTGTGTGTGTGTGTCCAGGCGTGTGTGTTAATGGATGTGGGTGCACATATGCATATGTGCACATGTATATATATTCATGTGTACATGTGTTGCATATGCATGGTTGTATGCTTGCCTGACCATGTGTATATGTGCACATGGGTGTGTACATATGCATGTATGCTTTTGTGTGTGTGATTGTGTGTCACACATGTGTTCATGTGTGTGCATATGCATGTGTGTGTCTCTGGCTGTACATATCCATTGTACATGTATATGTACGTGTGTATTCATGTATGAGTATGTATGTATATGTGTGTAGATGATTTTGTGTCTTTTTAGACAGCGTGTGTACTGAACTAGAGAGATAGAATATAATATGAAAACCTTAGGACTTTTTCCATTTTAGAGATAATCTTTGAATGAATTAATTCTTAGGCAGCAGGATTGTGCATGGGACGTTCGTAATGGAGGTGGATGTTGGCTCCCTTTCGGAAGCGTTAAGCAATGTGCAGAATCTGCTTTGTTCTTGCGCTCTTGCTTCTCTGCCACCATTTCCTCCAGAGAAGATGGTAGAAGGGTACACCCTGACAAGTTTCTGGGATGTCTTCCCATTTGGGTGTCTGTGTATTGTTCTTTCTAAACACAACACAGAATGATGATCACAGTGGTGTGTTTGTGGACGTTACTGCAATCAGAAGCAAGGCTGTTTCCTGTTTCTCACCAGAGACCTTGCGATGCTCACTTAAGGTGTATGTGGGTGAGACTCAAGAGCTGGCCCTTTTTTTAGGCCTGCAACACTCTGACGTCTTCAGTGAATGCAGTTCTTCCTGGGTCAGCTCTCTCTCTGGAATGTCATGAGCTTCCTACACAGTGGGCAACAGACATGGTCATGAAGGTCTGCCACACCTTATAGCCCAGGGATGAAATTAATTGTGCAGAAGTCTGCACAGAGTCAGCCACCTGACTCTTCCTCCTCCTGGAAGCTGCAGAGTGCATCTTGTTCTTCATGGGCACCTGCACTGTGTCCTGGAGTTGGCTTGACCGCTGGACTTCTCTAGCTTCTGTGGGCGCCTTATTAGGCTCTCTTCATTTCTGTGTCTTCATACGTTTTTCTACCCACTTGCTTCTTTTCTGTGCTTCGTGTTAAAGCACTTTCCACAGACTGAATTCACTTCACTCCTTTGCTGCTGATGTCCTGTGCCCCTCAGCATCCCTTCCTCTTGTTTGGGACACTGTGAATTTGCCGCATCTGTATATGGCTGGGGGAGCAACGCTCCTTTGAGCTGATACAGCAGGAAATGGCCCTGTCGCTGAATTCTTGCTGCCCAGACATTCTCAGTTAAGCACATTAATGGTCTGTTTTCTGTGTTTCATGTGGTTCTTCAGAATCTCTTGTGCTGTTTGCCCTACTAAACCATGCCATGTGGCTTATCTTTACGTTGTTCTAACTGACTTTGTTTATATGAATGGCTTTCATAACAAGATATATTTTGATTTCATTACAAGATATGTTTTAATATAAATTAAGAAGTACTTTGATCAAATGATTGGATAACAGAACATTTAATATTTATCTAGGAGACCCACAGTTGAAGTTCTTGGGAGAGTGTGTACAATGGTATTTGCACACTGACTTCAGGAACCATTGTTTTCTTGGGTGAGACATCAATATAACATCCCACAGTTAAACTTAAGATGTGTCTTCATTAGTCTTTAATGAGATGCATTTCTTGAGGTTAGATTTCTGGTGGGTGTCCCAGAAGAGTTTTTATCAAGAATCAAGAAAGGCCACTAGGAAAAAGATGAAGCCTAGAAATATGCTTGAGGAAAAAGCAGATGGCAATCAAATCATAGAAGAGTCAGTTCCCATCAGGGTTGGAAATGTCATGTATAAAGACCCGTCAGGACCTGAGAGGATGGAAGAAGGAACAAAGATATAATCAGACCTTATCAAGTCTGTTGAAGAGCAGCCTTGAGCCCAGAGCACAGAGGAGGAGGGCTGATGAGAGGCTAGTGTGGAAAGGAGATAAGAGCCAGGCAGACACACATGGAGGCTCACAAACAGCTTCCTTTGCCATAGGAACATTGACTTTCTCTTGAAGCATAAGGAGATTTTTAGAGAACTTTGTAGAATCAGAAAAATATGAACACACGACAGTGTCTATAAGTCTGGTTGCATTATAGAAAATGTTCCAGAAGTGTGGGGACTGGAGGAATGCTAGCCAACCGTATTGGGCTGGGTAATGTGTGTATCAGGTCTGTGACCATGTGCCCAGGATCTTCTGCTGATATATAGAGTCAGCAAGGTGGCTGAGCAGGGGAAGGTGCTTGCTGCCAAGACTAATGACGTGAGTTTCAACTACAACCTGAGTTTGATCTCCTGGACCCATAGGTAGAAAGAGGGAACCAATTTGTCCTGTGACCTCCACATGCCTGGACACACATGCATGCACACACACACACACACACACACACACACACACACACACACACACACACACGTTGGTTTTATTGAACAATCGCATAGGTTCAGCTTTCCCCTAAATATTGGGGTTTTTTAGTGTGGTATCACTGCGGCCAGGGAGGTTATTTAAAGCGGAGGCACTAAGGCCATCTTTGCTCCTCAGCAGTAGCTAAACACGACATTCTGGCAGTGGTTGCCTCTTCATGCATCTGCTTGGCATAGTGTGATTTCCAGTAGGTTGTGATTTCTTCTTGTTAATAAGGAGTTGCTTTGGTGAAACTTTTCACAAAGTAGAGTTGTAGACTCTTCACAAAAACTAAAAAAAGAAGGACAGAAAATGGCATTTTTATTCTTTATAGCAGTAGGGTGTTTTAAAAAATGTCTTGGTAATATCAGTTGAGAAGAGTCAAATAAATTGACAAAAATCATAAAGTGATATTCCTATCAACAACTTTTCAGACATTTCTTACTCTGAGTTCTTTTCCTCCAGATGTTGCCCAGATCCTGCAGCTCTGATTTGCCTGGTGATTTAGCATGTGTTTCACTCAGCATAACACAGCTATAAAAATGTGCTTCTCTGCCCCCTCTAAGCCCCACAGTGAGCCCGTGGCATTTATATTAAAACTGCACCTTGTGCCAAAAATCCTCTCTGGTGTATTCTCCAGCCATTTACAAATTTCTCGACATGAGTTCATTACACACACACCCAGAAGCAGTGGTTCCAGATGTGTGGCTGAGTTGAGAGCTTCACATAGACGCTAATGCATTTTTCTCTTAGGAAGTCTGCAAATTGTTCATAACCTGCAGACATTCTGCACCTCCCATGTGCCTGGTTGGGTGATACAGGCAGGGTAGTGAGCAAGGCATGTCCATCTCCAGGGAGTGGGAGAAGGGCAAGGCAAAGACACTCAGATGCAAAGAGTAAAAGTCCAGATATAATGATTTCCACCTTAAAGCCCATGGTTTCTGGCCCTACTTCTCCATTTTTTTTTTTTTAACTATAATCGGTCATCAGTAAGCATGGCCGTGCACTTTATAAACAGCATGATGGTCCAGTTTGGTTCTCTGACCATCGTTTTTTTATGTCCTGACTGATCACTGACCAATGCCATCTTAAATGCCAATAAGAAAGAAGACACAGGAACAGAAGAACCAACCACTGCCAGTCAGATTGGGTGGTTTGGAGGTCTGTGAGTCACTCTGATTGGGTGGTTTGGTTATAAAGTCACAGATTTGGTGGTTGGAGGTCTGCAGTGTGACTACATGAAGAAAGAACTTTTGTCAACACTGCTCATTCATTTTCCCCTCAAAATAGAGGTATAGTTATGAAAGTTAGACACTACAGAAAAATTGGAGAAGGCCGGAGCCACGAAATGTGGAAAAGTCAGAGATGTAATGAGCATTATTCTGTAGCTGCAGAGAATGTCATGAAATAAGACTCTATGCAGCCGCAGTCATAACTAACCGTGCTTAGCTCTGCATTCAGAACGAGGGGTTCTCACGATCACCAAGACCACACAACCTGTCTCTCTTTCTGCTCTGATATCATGGTGGACCTGAGGCATGTGGCAGGCTTTGGTATGGTTTCCATCCTGGCGGCCTCATTTGTTGCTCTCCTGTAGTTGACATATTTGATCATCGTGTCATCCTTTCATGAGGATCATAAAGTTCAAAGGAAGCACTGCTAGGATTCTAGGAAGAGCTCAGAGTGGTGGCTGCCTTCACACAGTCCAGGCTAGCTTGGGCATGTATGTCACATTAACTAATAAAAAGAAAG